TGACATGTCTAGTTTTTAATTGATTGAGTAGGTGTTTTACAGCGCAATCGACTCAATTTTGGTCATTTAAGCGCCAACAGGTTTCACCTCAACAAAATCAGACGAGTTTTAGTAAGAGTCTTTCGGAGCTCGCAACCGCACACGGTCACACTATTCTCGTTATGCGAAAAGGTCGGACAGACATTTATGAAAAATTTTGTAAATATGGTAAAGACTTATATACAATATTAATTTCCGTGTATGTATATACACACCGATAATGATAACTATATATTTTTATATTCTATTAAATAGTTATATTTCTTTTACATAACTTAAATTTTTTCTATGGTCTACAATGTCAAAAAGAGTTTTGATATCTTTACATTCAAAATATTTATTACGAACATCATTAAAATCGACACATTCCATTAGGATGTGCCGAGCTGTGAAATTTGTGTTGCACGCCACGCAAAAGGAGCTTCCTCTCCTTTGAGCAAATGTTTATGCGTGACGTGCGTGTGTCCTATCTTTAGTCTGGTAAAAATTAATTTTTCTTTTCGTAGGAGAGACAGTGGTATCCTGGGCGCAAGTTTCGGTTGAATGTAATGGAGTTTGTTGTGCATTTGTTGATTCCAAATTTGGGACCAGGAGGATGTGATGTGTTCTTTTACTTTCAGTTTCATGTCAGAGAAAGGGATTTTACTATTTGTGAAGCGTGCTGACAAAACGAGTTACTTCTCAGATTCAAGCCTTAAAGAAACAGATAAATCACGCTTATATGTGAAGTTTTTACAGTGTATTAGTATGAAACAATAAAAGACAGGTTATAGTTAAAGAATATGGAATCAATTGAAAATCTACAAGTTTGACCCTAATGTCGATTTTTGGCCAATATCTCCATTTGTGGATTGCGAGAAGTAACTCATTTTGTCAGCATGACTCACATTTTTGTTTTCAGGTAGTTTTAGAGATTCTTCGGCAAATTGGTCAACGGCTTCGTTGCCACCAATGCCTTCATGGCTTGGAAGCCAAGCTGTTGTAATAGTTTTCCCAGACTGATGTAGAAAATGCAGTTTAATTATAAGTTTTACAATTCTGTTGTCGGAGGTGTCAGAGCGCTCTAAAGATTTCAGACAAGAGAGAGTCTGAAAGGATTAGGAAAGTAGACTTGGTTGATTCATCTATTATATTTAGGGCCATCTCAAGAGCTGTAGCCTCAGCAGTGTAGACTGAAGCTTCTGGGTGGAGTTTCCTTAAGCTTAAGTTGTGTGGCGATGCAAGGGCAGCAGCTCCTACTGAGGAATCATTTTTGGATCCGTCTGTAAAGAGTTTCTCTGCTTCAGGGTATCTATTTATTAGCTGTTTGTGTGAGTTTAAGTATGTAGTTTTGTCTGTAGACTTTTTGTTGTGTTTTTCAAGACTAGTATCTATATTTGGTTTGGTTAATGCCATGGAGGTATGCTGGACATGGCAAAGGGCTCGATTATGTCTTCAGAAAAATCAAAGTCTTTGAGATCGTTCTGGATTCTTATTCCGAAAGGGCTTACTTTATGTCCTAAGGAGGATAGAGTTTTTAGGTCTTCGGGAAGGCCAAACACACATTTGTGGGCTGGGTTTTGGGGTACTGAGCTAAGTTTCAAAGCGTACTGCAAAGAGAGTTTTTTTCGTCTAAATTCTAAACATGGTTCGTGAGCTTCTGCCAGTAAACTTTCTACAGGTGAAGTACGGAAAACGCCTAGGGCAAAACGAAGGCCTTGGTTCTGAACAGGGTCGAACATTTTAAGGTAAGACTTTCTGGCTGATCCGTAAACAGGACTGGCATAGTCCAGCCTGGAACAGAAAAGGGAGTGGTAAAGTTGAAGAAGTATTTCAGTATCTCCTCTCCATTCGGGATTGGATAATACTTTTAAGGCGTTGAGAGCACTCTGACACCTCGTCTTTAGGTCTTTCAAGTGTGGCAGGAAAGAAAGGTTATTGTTGAAGATTACGCCCAGGAAACGAGTTTGTTTTTTAACAGGAATTTTCTCCCCAAACAAATATAAATCTGGTTGTCGCACACACTTGTGAGACAGACAAAAATGTACACTGTTTGTTTTTGTTGTAGAGAATTTGAACCCGTGCCCGTTTGCCCAAGTTTCCAGTTTATGGAATTGAAGCTGAAGCTGACGTTCAATGTGATCCATTTTGGATTTGGATTTATAGCAGATCAGGAAGTCGTCAATGTAAAGTGAGCAGTCAATATTGTTTTGAAGGGTTTTTGTGATGGAATTGATTTTGATTTCGAAAAGAATGGGCGATAAGATGCTTCCCTGGGGGACGCCTTCTTCTTGTGTGTATAAATTTGATAGGGTTGAACCTACTTTTACTTGAAATGATCAATCTTTCAAAAAGTTTCGTATAAATTCTGGAAGATTTCCGCGTAAGCCCAAGTCATGCAGGTCTTTCAGAATACCATGTTTCCATGTGGTGTCGAAGGCATTTTCTAAGTCGAAACAAAGAGCCACAAGGTGCTCTTTTCGAATGAAAGCTTCACGAATGAAAGTTTCAAGTCGGACCAGATGGTTAATAGTAAAGCGATTTTTGCGAAAGCTGCATTGGAAATTGGATAAGGAGCTTGAGGTTTCGAGAAACCACATTAGACGTTTGTTAATAAGTTTTTCCATAAGTTTGCAGAAACAGTTTGTAAGTGCTATGGGGCGGTAGTTTGATGGGTATAGAGTGATCTTTTCCTGCTTTTGGGATTGGTATAACAGTGCATTGGTGTGTTGTTGTTTATTTTAGAGACATAATTTCTAAAAGATGTTTTTTTGGCCGTTCTGATTATTCTGCGTTCTTGGGCTCGCGCAATTTTGAAATTTGTGAGGTTTTGTGATTGAACTAAAAAAGATTAACCCATTATTTTTGCGGTCTTGCTAGTCTTATCATAATCCAAGACGACAAAATCGGCCACTGTGTCCTATATATTATTGGGATAACACTTTTTTTTCTAAACTTTGGTAAAAATGACGAAGTTCGTGTAACCATTAAGACAAATGTATAAACTTACTTTCTTTTGGTTAAAGCCAATATTAATTTTTGATAAAAACTAAGGGCAAAGCTACACTGTGGACGAGGCGAAGTAGCAAGGGCGGGGCAATCAAAATAAAAACAAATAATGAAAAGACGGACGTTACTAGTCATACCAAGAACGGCACAAAGCGAGGAGATGCCAGGAGGAATCTCCGGCCGATGTACAATCTCTTTCACTGATTGAAATGTACATGTGTGCACACGAGCACATATTGACAGCATGCTTGACACTTACTAGTAGATCTACATCATTTCAGGGATGAGAACAGGAAAGGAAAACGAGAATAGTGACTCAAAATTGTTTGTGAAAGCAAAAATGAAAAATAAAAGCAAAGCAAACAATGAATTTACTTTTATTCAAAATAAGACACTATAGAATTGGCCTTTTTTCAATTTTGTGGATCTAAATCCATCGGTTCTCCAAAACATCTCCTTCTAATACACTCTTTCCATCTGACTCTCATTCTTTCTTTCTCAATCGTCGAAATAGGATGTCTGAAGTTAGTAGTTCTTCTGGTGAGTTTAACCATGATCGTTTTATGCACATGGGAAAGGTAATCACGACTCTTCAAACTTAATCTGCAAATCTGCTTTCGTCGTCTGGTAAAATTCTCTTCAAGTGGTGAAATTCACCAAACTACTGACGCATTTAATTAATCGGGGGCACCCACTCCTTTCTTTCTTTTATCTTGGGAGCTACCTTGTCGATCAGGAGAAACGGATCGAATCTTTGTTCATTTTCAACTGAAACTAAAATTGACCATACGGCGTCACATCGCTTTCATCGCTCCCTCCGACTCGCTCCTGGTGTTTTCGCCTTGTCTTGCCCCCCCCCCCCCCCAGGCCTACAGTGTGGCATTACCCAAAATAGGACATATCAATATGTTTTGTATTCCCTTGACAGAGTCTATCTCAAAGTTAAATTAGTGCAGGGTGTTCAGTTTTCATCCTAAGATTTCTCTAAGAATTGTCTACATCTCATTTTTGTTGTTAAGGGTAAATAGTGATTTTAAGTAGAACTCTCAGGGTAACCGACAAATATAGGCTTATAACGGCCCATTTCTCCATGCGAAGGACATAACATTCGGTCTGAAACGTTCCACGTCTCGTTCGTAAAATGATTTTAAAAATAGTAACCCTATCTTCAGTTGAAAAGACGGTTTTAAAAGTGTAATTTTTCACTGTAGAACTAGAAAGTTACTCAAAGAATTCAAATAATTTCATTAGAAATAGTTTGAAATAATATTGTGAAACTAAGCAAAATGGACGTCAAATTTGTCAAAACTAAGTACTGAGCAGATAGAACTTTGTAATTAGCAATACGATGTTGCGAGTGTGACTCGTCTTCATATAGACGTGTCACTGAGGTAGCGATATATGTGGCAGGACGTGGGGAAAACAGGCGCTCGTTAATTTTAGGGCATGTAGAGTTATTGGTATTGTCTTAAAGGTTGTTCAGTTGTCTTTCTATTGGTGAAAATAATCCCAATCTGTCTTTAAAAGAAGTTAAGACATTTGAGATTGAAGAAGGTGGGGTCGCCTAGTTTCAAAAGTAGAATAAGCGAGAACATGACAGTCAAAGTGTGGTTATTTCCTTAGCTAGATAGTATATGAACACTGAAAACTTACATTTTTGTGCCTTTAATGAACGTTTTTCGGTAAAAATCCACATACTAATGTGTTCTTAATTGGATAACTATGGTGTTAAGCCAAAAAACCCCAAAAATTCGACAAAAATTGCCAAACTGATAGAAAATTGCCAGTTTCTTCAATTTCATTATTTTGACGAGCGCCTGATTTCACCACGCTGCCTCACACATGATAAACCGGGAGGTACTCACCTTCATGTAGACGTGATACTGAGGTAGCGATATGATAAACCGGGAGGTACTCACCTTCATGTAGACGTGATACTGAGGTAGCGATATGATAAACCGGGAGGTACTCACCTTCATGTAGACGTGATACTGCTCCCACACGTCCCTGCACCACACGCGGAACCAGGCCAGGGAGCAGGGGATGAACGCCTCGCTACGGAGGGATTCTCGGCATCTGGGGCAGATAGTGACGAGGTGGGGTGGGGGAGATGTTTGTTCAAATATCGAAAGATATAAAAGAAGCTTTTTACTATCTAGCTTAAGGCTAATGTCAGAATATACATCAATGTGAGTTGCTCTTTCGAGTAAGCACCTATATATTACAACTCTGAAAAAAAAAAGATCTTGTAATTAAATTCCTGCATGTGCTTGAATGACGCATCTGATGTACATTTTGTCAGCTTTACTTCTCTTTTCATACTGAATTTTAGTAAGAGTAATAAATAACCTATATTTTTAGGTACACCTGTATGTGCTTTTCCCCACACATGTTTAAGACCCAATTTAGATTACTTAAGAGCCCCCCTCCCCTTTCCACCAACTCCTCCACCACTCTCACAGTAGCAGAATCAACTCCTCTCTCCCCCCCACCAACACTAATTAACACAATCCCCCACTTTTCCCAGTCCCCGTCCTTCACCCTCAACATCCCTACGCACATCCCCCCCCTCACACACCTACCCACCGACCCCCCACACAGAAACAAAACACCTTCCCACTTACACACACACACACACACACACACACACACACACACACACACACACACACACACACACACACACACACACACACTGACCTGGCATAGAGCTCCAACAGCAGGGAGACATTGGTCTGCTGAGCCTCCACAGGGATCTGTAGTGAGTTCCACACAGCGCTCACCACCGGGGCTCCCTCCTCCACCATATAGGCCAGGTTAAACAGAGCCTACAAATAGAGATAGAATATGGGTGGTTTGGCGGGTGCTCTTCTAGTTTTAGTAAGAGTTTTTCGGCACTTGCAACACAATAAGATCATATAAGTGCCTGGTGTGGTCTGCCCCACCTTTCTTATCAAACATCTATAATCCTTATCTCTCTTCCTACATTTTTTGAGTGTGTTTCGTTTTTGCAAATTTTATTTACAACAAAGAGATAGAATTATGCTTCACTGAATATTGATTTTTAAATGATGCCATAGTTTATGTTTGACATGTCTTTTGTCATTCCAATAACAAAGTAATAATAATAATAAT